ACATTTAGACATTATTTCTTTCGGTTGATTTATGGTGCATTTCTAGTCATTGTAACGTACATTTCCAGGTGAAAGTGTATCGTGTGCTGTTATTGTTTTTACTTTTTTTCTAGCTATAGAAACGATGGTTAGAATCACCATAAGATTATTTGTATATGGTATGTAGGTCAGTTATATTCGACCCCATTTTCATGATACGAATTGTTATATATTTTCATTTTTTATCATAAATCTTATATACATAGCCATATTGTATAAACGGGAAACTGAATGGAGGCATCAGACATATTGCCCAAAAACAGTTGATTGTAGATAATGTTATTTTCGTTAAATTTATTGGCACACAGAATAATTTATTATATTATAAGAAGGTAGTATATTTACAATTCCATATTTTCTGAAGAAAATTGTAATGGTATACCTTGCTCTTAAAGTAAGATAAAAATTATATGAAGTAACGAGCAGTAATAGGAGTATGTGTCAGGCCTTTAGTGAAGAGTGGATGTTTAGAGTAACACTGTATTGTGCGTGTGTGTGTGTACACTTGTCTTCTGTGTCAGAAAGAGACACCTCCATCCTATCAGTGACAGAACAAAAGTTTAACAAATTCTGTTAATGTTTATCGCCTTACATTTTGAAAATTCACTGTGACAATATCTACCAGTATGTGATTCTGAATCTTCCATAATGTAAAGATGTGCCTTGAGAAGTAGGCAGAGTAAGCACCATCTTGCACATTGCAGTTAATGCACTTTTCGGCACGCAAAGCAACTGGCTTTTTATGCTTCATTTATGGTTTGTGATTGATAATGTTCTTACTTTCATAGGTAATGTTTAAAGATGTATTGACAGATATGAATACGGATTGTGGCAGTGAGCATGTATGGACATTCTCTCTGCCCCACCTCCTCTCTCTCTCTCTCTCTCTCTCTCTCTCCCTCCCTCTCCCTCTCCCTCTCTCTCTCTCTCTCTCTCTCTCTCTCTCTCTCTCTCTCTCTCTCTCTCTCTCTCTCTCTCTCTCTCTCTCTCTCTCACTCTCTCTCTCTCTCTCTCTCTCTCCCTCTCTCTCTCTCTCTCTCTCTCTCTCTCTCTCTCTCTCTCTCTCTCTCTCTCTCTCTCTCTCTCTCTCTCTCTCTCTCTCTCTCTCTCTCTCCCTCCCTCTCTCCCTCTCTCCTTCTCTCTCCCCCCTCTCTCTCCCTCCCTCTCTCTCTCTCTCTCTCTCTCTCTCTCTCTCTCTCTCTCTCTCTCTCTCTCTCTCTCTCTCTCTCTCTCTCTCTCTCTCTCTCTCTCTCTCTCTCTCTCTCTCTCTCTCTCTCTTTTTTGTCGTACAGATAAACACAAGACATTCTTACATACTTATATTATGGCATAGCACAATATTTTATCACTACCTTTTTCTTCTGCACTTGTTATAATTAAGCTCAGGCATTTGCTAGATTTTCATCTTAGTGTAGTTTACTTTCACTCTTTTATTGCATGGCCATATCAATTCAAAATTTCAAGTCTGAAATGTACTCATTACATTTATACTTTTTCTGTTATCACTTTTTAATCTGTCATTATTTATCATTATCACTATGTCTGTTTGTTAATACTCTCTGCACAGTACCAGTGCTTACTGACTTGTTAATTCAGTGATGTTAGAATAATTCTGTAGCTTGTACAAAAAATATAGGAACAATGTTAATATATAATTTGCAACAATACATTGCCATATTTATTCCTGCCTTCACTATCCATTGAAAAGCTGTGTCCAAGATACACAAGTAATCTTTTAATGATGAATATACCTATTGTGGCAATGTTCCAGAATAAGTGTTAAATTAAGACAAGTGCATTTTTACCCAAGAACAATCTTGAAGCAATAAATTTTTAATGTAATGTAGTCCAGTTTTGCTAAAGCTTTATGATGAATTGAACTAATGTAAACTCTTAATACAAAGCAGGTTGTAATGTTGTTTCCCAATCATAACAGAATTGTAACCAACAATATTTTGTCATCAAAATATAAGTAAATATATTGTACAGTACAACTAACATTTGCTGGTGAAATATGTTAGTAACCACCTATTCACATGTAACAAGTGGAGTTTAATGATCAGATTACAAATTCATTACCACAGTTTCTAAAATCTTTGTGTGAAGTAATTCCTTGAAACTGGACGATGGATTTACTGTTGCATATTTGAAGATCAGAAAAGCCTACTTCTTGCATAATGATGTGCAGCAATGTAGAGTCTGCAACTTTGCATCCAGTAAATACATTTCCAGTGTTTAATAAAACTAAATAATTCACTGTCCAAATTGGAGTGTCTTCATCAACTGTGTTTGAGAGCTTTGGTAACTAGATAAATGTACAGATACACTATAGATTTTCCAGCAACTGATGGTTTGGTATCTCTTGTAGCCTGGACAGAAATAGGAGTGGAAACTTCAGTTTGCAGTGAATGCCAGATTAGTTCATTGGGCAGCTATGTGACATGCTCATTTGTTAACAGAAGACAGCAGAGGCTGACTCAGCTCCATTGGGCTTGCACAAGTCCTAGGATATTTGACATGGGTTCTAAGCAGAGCACAAGTATCTGATATTGAGCATAAAAACGGTCCATATCATTATGAGAAAAGATGGAAGTGTTAAAAAAAATCAGCTGCTTCAAGGCAAAATCTGTGCCAGATTTATGTGACCTCTTTTGATCTAACAAAATAAATAACCCTGGAAGGGTCAGGAACCAAGGGTCCTGGAAAATCAGTTGGTTATCTGTATTATTAGTAGAATGCATGGTAATTAAAAAATGTGTATTAGAGCATTTCTGTACATCTATGTTGTCACAGTGGTGTAATGTGAAAAAAATTGAAAACTGTACTTAATTATTTAGTCCAGTGGTTCCCTAGTCGCAGAACCCCAGGGAGTCTGTGGAAGTGGCATTGGGGACCATGATATCAGTTCAAAACTCATGTATAAGTACTCATGACATGGCTGCTAGAAAAAAATAAGATTTTTAGTTTGATTTCTAAATACTAAGATGCATTTAACTGAATGCTGTGAAACTAGGAAATTGATTTTTTTTATTTGTTTATAAAAATGGCATCCAAAGGAAAATTAGATTTAATAAAGGGGATCTTTAGTAGTGAAAAGCTTGGGAACCACTAATAGTCATAGTTGCATAAGTCCGTAAGTTTGCCCCTTTAATAAGTAATTACTTCTTAGTTCCATTAGTTTTATTTAAAAGAACTTCTTTACTGACTTACACCTTCAGGTAAGTTGGTTCTGTGATAAAATTAAAAAATATATATATTTTTCAGTTTTGTTGATTATTTAAAATGTTGCATCAACAGTTCAGATTATTAGCATCAGTGACTATTAATTTGCCACCATATGCATTGCCTGTATTTTAACTTTTGGATAGTTGAAGCAAAGCATTCCTCACTCTCAAGAAACTCCTTTAATTCTGCTCAACCACCAGTTTATCTCCTGCAATGAACACACAAAAGGCACTTCCATATATCCTTCCATTTCATTATAAACATTACCTTTGTTTATTTAGAATCATTGCAATGGGATTGGTTGTATGCATATTATTAGAGCTACAGTTAAGATATAGGCATTTTGTGTCACAATTATATGCCAACTTTGAACATGTCATATCTTACTGATTTTCAGTAGTTTCAGTGTGGCTGTGGATTTCAATGTTGTTGTAGTAGTAGTAATAGGCATGTATACTTGTAAATGAATGGTAAATGCTAAGTGATGTGAAGTTACAGGATATCTCTATATAGAATAGCTGAACAAAATATTCCTTTAAAAAAATAACTGTCTTAAAAAAAACTGTTTCTTTACTGAGAAATTTGTTATACCAGTCTACCTAATACTTCATTTTATACTTGATGTGTTGTACATTATTTCAACCACGTTTGACTTCATCAGAGATAATTTCTTTTCCTTTGCTAAATGATGTAAACTACCTCACATGTGAGGTCAGTCCAAAGAGAAACAGAACTTTAAAAAAAAAGGCATAGACTACTTTACCAACACCTTAGCTTTAATACTTTTGAAATAGTCTCCTTCACTGTTAATGTAAGGCTTCCAACTTATTTTCCAGTTATAAAAAGCAGCCTGGAATGCATTTTACATTCAGGTTTTGTGGCAAATTTGCCTCACTCTGTAATTTGATGCTGATCATCTTTTTTTAATGTAAAGGCATTACTCATCATGAGTTAGTTCCACATGATCAAACAAGCAAGACCTTCACCTGAAGGTCCTGCAGCATTTGAAACAGCACAGCAAAGGAAGAGGAATGGAGCTGCATCTCCTCACGGGACAGCTTTATCCTAGCCCCCCTCTCTGTCTGTCTGTCTGTGTCTGTCTCTGTCTCTGTCTCTGTCTCTCTTAACCCATTGCCGCCGGGGAAAATGAACAAAAAATGGGGGAAATGCAGTACTCATTTTTTATGTTTTTGTGAAATATCTCTGTCCACAAATGGCTCTGCTAGTCCTGATTTCACCTTTCCTTGAATTGGCAGGAAAAAACGTATTCTTACTAGTGCTATAAATATAGATGGTGTTATATTTAACAGCAAATTAGGATAACGTTAAATATTTTCGTAAATCGATGAAAAGGGTGAACGGGCGAAACAGGCAGTACTCATAATTGGCTCATTGGAGACTTAGACAAGTGTAGCCATCTATGTGTAAAAACAAACAAGTCGACTCACAGTGGGCATGGCATGTACGTACATGCCATCCCCGGCGGCAATGGGTTAAACAACAGCCTCAAAGGTCAACAACAGAAAAGGTCAAAGTAAATTGGTTTTGAGACTAAAATGCATTCCATACAGGGAAAAGCATACAAGTGCACTGCATCAATAGTGGAAGGGACTAGTTTGAAGGAAACATCTCAGCACTTGCTGAGTGATGAAATATTTTTCTGAAGTCAAGTTTGTTCTTGGACTGGCTTCATACATTTTCAGTTCACTGGACTTTGGTATCTAGTGTATTTCTCATATTTCTCATTCAAGAGTTTTATAAAGAATATAAATAAGTAAGACATTTTTATTGCAACTAGTAAAAGGGCCACAATCTATTTTTCCTCTTGTCTTTACAAATTTCCTGTTTAATTCTTGGCCTAAGATGTAAAGTCAGTAAATGTTGAATTGATGACATGAGCATACACTAATGCATATCTCTCCTTTTACATACTTAAAATATTGCAGCATTGGTTTCCATTACATAATTATTTGCCTTCACCAAATCTGAGGTTTCCATAATTTCTGGTATGTGTATACAGGTATTCATTCTTCATGAAAAAAATATTAGTAAAGTTTTATTGTTTTTGAAAATAAATAGTAAAGAAAAAAATATATACACAAAAGGTAAACGGCCAAGTGTTTCACTAGTTGATCCTTTTATTTTCTATTGATAGATTTAGATGTTTGGGGTATAATAAATAGAGCATAAATAAACAAATATCCAAGTATAATTGACTGCTACATATTCCCTTAACAGTTTGGTACAATACATTGTAAGTACAGTACTACAATTGGTACTATTTATTCTTTTCCTTGCATTTGGTTGAAAGGGAACACCTGTTTAACAGAAGGCCATGGTCAAATTTCCTTAAAAAAAAAAGTATAGAAAGAAAGAATATTAAAATAACATTTTAAAAATTCTCTGTCAACCAAATGCTCCTGATGTTTAGACTTCTGATGAGGGCATGTCGTATACAATGTACAGCATGATGCATTGTAAAATGGAGTTGAAGGGGGAGGTGTGTGCCTATTAATGAGATCTTAACAGAAAAACCTATTCCTAGTACCAGCTGGCTTGTTCCTGACACCACAGTACTTGATTCCTATATCAATAACAATTAACCTTGGAAGTCAGCTGCTTCTGTTACAGCTAACTCAGATACTTAAAATCTGTTCCTGACAGAGAAAAAAAAAATACTTTGCAGGGGGCAACATACAGGCAAAAGCATACAAAATTAATAGATCTAAAATACCCACTTGGTGAAGAAATGTGACTACTGTATGGTATGAATGGCATGACTGACCTAACCACAATGACTCACATGGAAGAACACCAAATATTGCTATCATCAGCAGGAGGGTTCTATGTCATGTAAGATGCTTGCATTCCAAGTTTCCCAAATAAAGACTTACATCCTGCACTTAATTTGTATTTTTTTTTTTTACAATTCTAATTTTCCTTTCAAATTCAAATTATATTCCTAAATAATGCACAACACAGCTGTAGCTGCTTACCATGAAAATGATTAAGTAAGTATAATAAGAGATAACTGAATAAATAAAATAAATATCCATTAAGTTTGCTTGTAAAAAGACAAAAGAAAAGGAAAAAAACAGAACTGGACCTTATGCCCTCCTGTTGATGACTGCTTTGTGAAACCACTTGTACTATCTACACTGTGCCCATCGGCACCGTAAACACTGTCCTGAACTCTGTGGCCTTACATGAAGCTGAACAAATATTCAAAATTGCTGAATAGTCACATACTAAGAAGGAAATATGAAGGTTGAAAGTAAAGACTACATCTTCTGGAAAATACTGTCATATTTATGTCAATGAAATACATTTTAACCTCATGCAAAACTGCAGAATTTTGGCCATAAATGTGTGTTCAGGTCATACGAGATCACGTTGTACAATACTTTGGAAAATGCCCTGTAAATGGATTAGGAGTACCTGCTGCCCATGTCCTCTATCCTTCTTACCTATTTTGTTTTTTTCTTTTTAATTCTTTTTTACTGCTAATGCCTACCTATTAAATGATCCTCAGTTTCATCAAATTAATTTTAATCCTACATGCAAATTTTCTAGAAGAAACTAGTACTGAAAAGCTATACCCCTATAATGCTATTGGTGTAAATCTAAATTATGAAGGTTATCTTACAGACATAAATTTTACAACGTACATTCTTCCACAACACATCAAATCTACCAATATAAATCAGGGAACAGCTTCATGTTCATACAATAAATATAGTATGACAAAGAAAATCATATGTACATCAATTTTTAGCCTTCAACTGAGCTACGTGAAGCTGTAAATCATATGACCTTGTTCAGTTAATAAGTATGTCAATCGGTTGATCAGGACACTACCATGGTGCAACATGATCATAGGGCTAAATAAATCTAAAGGATAGAATATGAATCATATGGTTCAAGATTGTAATCTTGAAAGGCAACATACAGTAATTTGTGCACACTTAAATACACAAAATGCAAATTATCTGGTGCCAAAATCTATGAAAAATCTACAGTTTTCCACTATATTGATAACTACAGAATCTCTGCATTTCCTAAAATGTTTCTTGGCTTTACAGCAGGTACACTACTTATATTCCCATTAATTGCCACCAAGACTCCTTCAGTAAGGAGTACACCTGAAAATATCACTTGACAAATTTAAGGACAACAGCCATCCTCTTTGCAGTTTTGCTTACATATGCCAACTGGCCAACCGCAACTCAAATTTCAACACTGCAGTATTATACATAAGCTCACTTTGATGACTCAAGAAGTGACTTCAAGCACAATATCTTGGGGAAGAGTACAGCAATCTCTTTAGTGCCTAAGGTCACATTAGAAAATATATACCAATGTCACTAGGTATAAACTCCTGCAGCATGAGGATTGCCGGCCTGAACTATGTTAATTCATATACAATTAACTCAATTAGTAAAGACATTGCTCTGCTCTACACCTGTGTATGATCGCTTGTGACGTCTCCTAGCAATCCTTTGGCTGACCATGTTCAACATTTAACACTGATCACTGATATGAATATATTGTCAATGCAGTGCATTTCACATTACCAAAGGATCAGTATAAGGAACAGCTTAGAAGCTCATAAGCAGTTGCAGAATGCACAAATTCAACATTTTCTCCTAAACATGATGAATCCGTGCAAACCCATAGAAAAACTCTGCATCTGCATACAGCACTTAGCTTAAACATCCTTTCTTTGAAGACCAACTACTGTCTTCCTGTACTACTATCCCTTACTGAGAAATCAATATTTGTCCTCATAAGTTCAAACTTCTATTATTTTTCATCCTTGCTGTCTTTACTGTCTTCATCAGTAAAGTTCTCTTCATAAGACTCTGTGCTATCCTCTTCCAAGACAGCAGAAAGCCTCTCAACCAAGTTATTTGGAATGAGGGTCCCTGAAAACAGAGGGAAAACGTGTAACATCAAATATCAATACATGCAATTCAGGGAATAAAAGCTATTCCCTTACTTACGATTCCAAAAATCTTTAAATCCATTATAGCAAACCAAAACAAACCTTTGTACTAATGTGTAAAATGTTAAAGTCTCACACATCTTTTTAAAAACATACCAACAAGCTTTGTTCCCTCGTGCGTTTTCAGACGTACAACCTGCATCTTAGTAGAAGAGTGACTGTGTGGTGCTGAGGCCAGAACATCTTCCACTTTTGCCCAAACATTTAGCACTAATCCACACAATATGTGGTAAGTGCGTCGACGCAAGCCTATCTCGCACTCCAGTCCACTGTTCACCCGCCGACAGTTACCCTGCCTAATGGAGAATGAGAAATGGGTTATTTCACTTTTGGTGGCAACAACTAAATGACATTCAATAAAAGCAAAAGTACCATTCCCTTTTACCTTTTTTATCTATTTGTCACTAGGTTAGGCTTCAGATTATAATTATCCACTTCAAGTGGGTTAAAGGAGAATGCAAGATATATAACAAAGAAAATCCTAGTAATTGATAAATAACTGATAGTAGTAGCTATGAGGATTTACATTACCCAACCAAAAATCTGAAATTCAGATTCCCATCACCACCAGCAGTGTTGCTCTCTGCATGCTCTTATCTATCATGCTGAGGTTGCTTACCAGTAGGCATGTGAACAGGTGTGACTAGATGCCTTGAACTGCTCCTCCCAGTGTTCTTGTGCCTCGTCTGGTGTCACCTTCTTGTACTTCTTCTTCAGCTCCGAATAAGCCTCCTGTTTCATTTGCATTCCTGTGTTGGGCCGGTAAAGTATGAACATTCTGGAATTCTTCTCGCGCTTCTTATTAGTGGCTGAGGGTTCTAAAACAGCAAGCACAGCAGTCTTCTTGTTATTTCGAACCTGTAAAGTTAAGTTGTGAGTACTTCAACCCATTTTTTCTGCACTTTGTTTTAAATATTATTGTTATGAGTATGATATAAAGATTAATGCTGCTATCAATATCAATACTTTTTTTTTCTTCTTTTTTATTAAGATTTCTATTAAACAAAGTCACCTAACTGGCACTATAATTTACCACAGCTACAATCCCATCTTTTGCCTTAAAATTAATCTTATCTCCTAGCACATTAAGGCTAGCTTCTATCACAGAAGCAAAGACACAATTTTCAGTATTGAAGCCTTTATATGGTGGGAGTGTGGACACCTGCTGAAAAATCTATATTTTTTCAAGAACTGCTTCATTCAAGTCAGTCTTTGAAAAATGGAGCCATAGCAGGAGACAAAAGCCTGGTCGCAAGACAAACCTGGTGGGAGAGGTAGAATCCTTCCAAGTCCCCGCTCAGTTCCGCCCATTTTTCCTGCACTTCTGACCACGACATGCCACGCTCCACTAACACAGTGTGGATCTCAGTCTTCGCTGTTCCTGTAGCATGCTTTCCTATCCACGTTTTAGTTTTCGTTCTCTTGCAGCCCTCCCCACCAACCCCCAAATCTGGAAAAAATGAATCATAGAAATGCATATATAAAAGGAAGAGATCTTAGAATTCTATAAATAATTATAATTAATTCATAAACTGCACACACCTAATGTGCAACAAGGCAATCCAATATACAATATCCAAAACATGGGTTGAAAAATAATACACTTACCAAGGATACCCATATCATATTTGCCTGTCCGCTTGGCTTGACTAATAATTGCAGCTAATGTGTCTGTGAAATATTTGAATAACCTATTTTGTAGCTCTACTGGCATTCCCAATATCCTGAAAGAGAAAATTGATATTGAGCACAAGGTTTTTCTGAAAAATTTTCTTCAACCATTTAAGTGAAGACTTTTATTTCCAAGAAATCAATTTTACAAATAAGGCAGCGCAGAGCTACAAGACAAAGACACCTTTCACGAACCTATTGAGGAATTTACTCAAGTTGTTATAGTCCTTATCCAGCTGATAAATGCTGTCTTCTCTTAGGATCATACCCACTCCAACGAGAGCATTCTGTATGTCTGCAAAGAAGTCTCCCTTGTAGTCCTCAGGAGGGGGGACAATGGGATGCTCATAGCCCATCATGGTCTTCATGGCCGACTCCAGTGCCATGCGGCCATATTTGTTGTCAATGTTGAAGGAGGAGAGATCACGTGATTCTGTGGCTCTTCGATCTCCATGTGTTAAGGCTCCCTGTGTGAAACAAGTTAGTGATTAGTGTCCTCTTGACATCAAAATTCAGTACAAGTTATTTCCTTATTTTTCAGTAATAAAATCAAGAATGTAAGTTGTCAAACTTACCAAGCTCTCTAATCTCTTTGCAACAATGGAGGCAAATCGGCGTTCTCCAGCAAGTTCAGATATTAAGAAAATATATTCGGGTGCATTTACTTGGTTACTTCTGTGTGTTCGACCTGTTGCCAAATTCAGAGGAAACATTAGCTGAATAATCATGAATTGGGTCTTGAGAGCATCTTGGACATCTCTATAAATTCACTGATCTTTTAAAATTCAACAGGAACTGAAAAACAGGAAAACCACAAATCTCACAAAGACTTACCAAACTGCTGAATAGCTCTGTCTGCCGACCAAGGAAGTTCAAGTGTTATGTGAACTCTTCTTCTCTGGTTTTTCACTCTGCGATCACTCTGAAGTGAAATACCTGAGCTAGCAGCCTCTGAGATGATAGCTATATCTTTTTCTGAATTCATGAACCTCTCTTTTTCTGAAGATATAAAAGGTACAAAGGTTAATCATACTGCTTTCTTTTTTTAATCAGAATTAATATACAACGTTTGAATTTAAGATCAGCACTCTACTTTTAGGTTCTCACCCTCAGGGAACATACTCAAACTTGAACTAATAATTTCAATCCATTTACCTATCACCGTCTTACCTAGACAATAAGCTTGGGTTTTGAATATTGCTAGATAACAAAGAATGCTGAATAAAGGAGCTACACCACACACATTTCACAAATGACACCCACTTCCTCTTGAAAGCATTAATAAGAATGTTAAGAGATCCAACCATTCAACACAAAAAATCTCCTTAACCCCTTGGTGACAGGTTAAGAAAACTAAAAATAACTACGCTCTGGCGATCAATGGCAGCGCGCCGACTTTGAGCACGGGAGTTCGGTACATCAGGCCGACTCACTGGCTCACCACGCCTTGGCGCACCACCATGGCATATATCCGCACACCACATTTCAAGCTGTTTGTTTTCACGCCTATCGGCGGCACCCATCGGGAAGGGGTTAACCACCTGCATACTATAATACTCATGTGTTGTCATTAAGACAACAGTTCCTCTCTTTGCCTCTAGACATTGTCTTGGACCTCCCGCCTTAAGCTAGATCACCAGCTGGAAGCCATTGTTTGTCCAGGGAAATTTCAGTTTTTCTTTCAAGTTTGGTCTTGATAGTAATTATAATGTTTATGATATAAATAACACCATCAATATTCATAGCACTAGTAAAAAATACATTTTCCCACCAATTCAAGGAAAGGTGAAATCAGGTAAGGATAAGCACTAGCAGAGTCATCTATGTGTAGAGACATTTCACAAAAGAAAATTTAAAATGAGCACAGCATTTTCCCAATTTTTATTCGTTTTCCCCAGTGGTACCGAGTTCATACATCCGCACGAATTTCTCCAAAATGAACAAAAACCCACATCACATGACTCACCCTTGATGTTTAGAATCTCCAGTGGAATATCCGCTTCAGATCTGGACTCGTACATGACCTGGCCATCGTCACTTTGTACTACACGCCCCTTGCGCCCCGTCATCTCCGCCACGTTTTCTGGGCCCCCGAGCTCATCAATCAGCTGGTCTAGCGTATTTGGAGGCAGCTTTCTGCCAAGGTTGGTTATATTCTTAAGGAGATCTGCCTTCATCTTCTGGGCTCTCTCCACATGGTCCTTGGGGGGAGGCGGGAGTTTGGCTCCATTTTCTGCCCGTCCCTTGCCGTTCTTCTGTTTGTGGTTCTTGGCTTTCCCTCTCTTCTTCGGGCGGCCCCAACTGTCTATGGTCAGAAACCAAAAAAGAAATGTTACTCTCCAACAGAAAAAAAAAAATAACAACAACAAAAACAAGTAAAACAGAATATATAGTCAAGATTCAACACAAACCTTCATCATCAAAGTCACTTATGTCGGAGAAATCAGAGGACTGATCTGACGAGTATGCATCATCCTCCTCCTCTTCCCCTCCACTCTCTCCTGATGGATAAATATTTAGCTTAGAAAATATACTTAACTCAATGAATACTTCTTACTGCACAAAATGCCCTGAGAAGACAGATCCAAGGTCTCAAAAGCAAATTCTTTTTGCCTTTCCATAGAAATAATTGAATTTGATACAAATTTCTCTTTTAGATTACGCAAACAACAAATTTTAAAGTACACAAGACAGCAGTAATCATGCATTTTCATCTTGCTCAAACAAGATAAAAACTGAAATTTTAAAACTGAAAGCTCCATCTTCTACATTTCCCTGGAAAACTCTTGGGAAAATCTTCTTGTATTTTTGCTAAACAGCTCTTTCATGTCATTAATCAAAAAAAAAAAAAAAAAAAAAAAAATGTGACTACAAAAAATTGGTAAAATTATAGTTTTCCTTAGCAGCTAAAGTGAAGCATAAAAAGGAAAACAGTATCATTCATAAGCATTCACAAAAATGGCTGTGAGAAAAAAATATATAAATGAAAATTTTGCAAATTACTTGAAACTAAAAGCTCCAAACAATCTCATTTTGTCATTCCTTTAAATCTTTAAGGAATGCCCTCTCTGTCCAGAAATGGCAAAAGGGGAGAAACAATAATCTAAAATTTTGGGGTTCCCTTTCAGTGTGAAGTTAGGATACAGGGATAGCTATGTATTCCATGATATAGAGGATTTAAAGAATACAATTTATAGCAACTGTAAGCAACAAGACATTCTATCCACACACCCCCCCTTTTTTTAGTTAACCAAATTATTATTACGGAACATCATAAGATTAAAGATTTCAAGCACAAAACAAATCAAATCCTCTAAATTTCCTTCTCAAGCTGAGAAATGTCTGGCTTCAGTTGCATGCATCTGATGTTATTCTCTCTTTCAAGTTTGTCATTTAAAATAATTCCCTTCCGAATGCATTTTGCTTCCATCATAACCAAGTGCCAATGTTCCAGAAGGAAGTAACTAATGAAAGAGAAGCTACAATTCTAGCACACCTGCTGACAAGTACTTCTCAACCCTGACAAATCAACTCTACTGATACTGAACCCCAAACAAAATATTAAGCAAGATCAAGCTTCTACTCTAATCATAACAACTACCCACTGCTCGACTGCACAACATGGAATGCACAAAGTTACCTATGGCCTGGGCTGCATTTGAGAGAGAGGTCCATCATCAACATATAGTATCACCAAGACTTCAAATTCTTATATCTAAAAAGCTTCTTTAACTCGATATTTCTAGTACTGTGGGTCCAACTAGATAATGAATTCCCTACTGCATCAAATACTGTAACAGATCTTAGAGCCAATCCAATCTGGTAAGTTGAATTCTTAATTTCATAAACTGTTACTCAACTCTCATCCTTGTTACATTCAGTTCCAAAAGAAGCCTACATATACACCTGGCAGAGCAAACAGTGAATCCAAAGGAAACTGAGACCAACCCTCACCTGACATCTCAAAATCAGAGTCTTCCTCATTATCGGAGTGGATGTCCTTGTACCTTCTCTTTGCTGCTCTCTGTGCCGCTTGTCGCACTTCAGGGGAACAAATTACATGAGAACTTATTTAAACATCACTTAGCCATTACTCTAAGAAAAAATATCCAGTATGTCCAAAGTAAAGACATTCTGAAATCAATATATATGCATCTAAATAATTGTTTACTTTCATAATTTTTTAGGTTGACTGATTGAAGATCTGATCTACTAAATAAATAAAAATATAGTATAACAGCACTTGTAATTAATTATTAATTAACATAAATGGCATGGAAAACCTCTGGTCTTTACCAGAAAGCAGGATACTGTTCCCTCTTCTCAAGACACCTTCCATCAGGTTTTTAGCCAACTCACCTGGTTTCCTTTTTGAAGTCTTCCCTGTGACTTCATTAATAATATCCTTGAATTCTTTACTGGTTTCTGAGATTCCAAGAATCTTGTTGATGCGATTGCGGTCAGGTGCTGGAAAGTGTTTCTCCACTAAAGACTCCAGGACTCCTGTTAAAGAGAGGCAAATGGAATTTTATAGTCACATGTAAAATATGTAACAAAATGAGTATTTAATTAATAACTAACTAAATAATTATGTATATATATACATATTTCTATATACATTAAAAATAAATTAATAAATTAATAAAAAAATAAAAATTTAATACCCACATACACAAAAACAAAAAAGGGGGGAGGGGGGGGACTATTTCTCATTTAAATCAATGAAACAAGTTTCCACATGTACCTCTTGCAGTTGAAACAAAATCTGAGAGTTCCCCATCATCTTTTTCCAATTGTTCTATAGTTCTTGCTTCTCCAGTCGACTGTAAGCCAATGACTACACATCTGTTTGTTTTGACAGCCTCACGAGCTAGTCGCACTGCATGGTCCACCTGGAATTGTTAAGAACACAACTATGTAGAAAACAATTACATAAACTGTTAACCATAATTAAAATTTACTTAGTTTACTAGAATAAAAAACCTTTGTTAAGAGTGGCACTATTTAAAATGTAAGTGACATACCTTTGCAGCAATGCACAAATACTTGAAGAAACGCTGATGTGAAGACCAAAATTGACCCCACATGGATTTCTTCATCCCCTTCTCTGCATTGATCAGCTCTGACGCCTCCTGGAACTTCTGACGGGCATCCACCCACTGTAATGGAGGGAGGGGGTCATGAGTAACACTGTGGACCACATATGGATCACTTACATACCCAAAATACTTCAAAGAATTCCATTGCAATTACAGTTACCTGTGCAATTTTACATGTTGGTCATTAATTCATGTGAATCATTGTCATCCTAGTCATACTTGGAAACAAACAGTCCAAGCTTCACATGCTGTGGTCAACTGCTTACTGAGCCTCAAACTCAACCACTCAACTTTCAAGTTGGATATTTCTCTGGGACACGACAAATTTAACAGATCTGTCACAGATAGTTTTAAATTTACTGTTTTCTAGTGAAGGCCAAAGGATATTTGTGAATGATGCCTTGTTTTGGGCCATATAGGGTTAATATGACTAGTTACTGGAATGAAAACCTTATCCACATGAAACTAATATATAATTGCTAAGAAAAAGTCTATTTTGTCAGTAAAGCACTGGCTTGTGTTGCAGGATCCTTGGAAGTCCATCTGAAACTATGTAAATCACTTGCCATATAAAATACTTACCAATTTGACAGAGTCATCGTACACTAGCTTGATATCTTCATCCAAAGGAACTTCTTCTATTCTGAAGGATACTCCATGGAAGCTTAGTTGTCGGGCAATGTACATGCCACGGAGTTTCATGTCCATGGCCACGATCTCCATAGCACCAACACCCCTGAAAAGGAAAATAATGATATGCTAAAGTTTTCTTTACCATCTGTATATTTTTTAAGGTAATAAAATAAACATTGTACCTAATTTCTTCACCTGACCACAGTAGGTGAAACTTAACTTAGTGATTATACATCTTTCAAAAATTTTAAAAATTATCATTGCTTACCTCTTTTCAACAGCACTGATGAAATCTGTGAATTCGGGGAAGGGAGTTCCCTTGCCCCAGATCCCAACACGGACCATGTATGCCATATTCTTTGGTTCAGATGCTCCAGTGGCAGATGCATACACCACACGCGCTTTGGGTAATCTGTTCTGGAGTTCTAAGACAGTTAAACCTGTCTTGGTTGGCTTTCCAGAGCCCACCGGGCAGAGGTTCTTGGCACGATGGCATTCATCAAACACAATCTGTGAACAAGCCATTAGACATTAAACATTTATATATTTGTGTCAGATTTCCAATAAGATTATCTAAAAATATTTCAACATACCTTTCAGTGAAACCAGCTATTAGATGATACTGGTATATTTATATTATTTTATTTACTTCAACGACTGTATTAATAGTCATGCATCAGTATAAAAACTATACAAATGAAAAAATTCTTAGACAGGAAAATCTAAGAATGCCATACGGTCACTACTGAATAAACAATACACAATAACAATGATGATGTCAAATACAGCATCACAAAACATCAAAGCACAGAAACAGTAGTTTCAAATTTTCTTTTCCATAACAGATACCAGTAATGCATTCCCATCTCGGAAAGTGACTGTATTACAAGTGAAGTTGATGTTCCCAAAAACATGACAAATTTATTTTCATTGCATAATTTTTTTTCAAATCACAAAAATGTATTTTTCTAACAAATATCCTAGTAAAATGGGGTGTCTTACAGGTTTCCCAAAGAGAAAAATTATGAACACAAATACAGGCACAGATACACACATGTGCATGCAAAGCAAAAGCAAGGCAATACTTACAACACCATCAAAATCATCGCCACACCAGTTCAGAATCTGCTTTAAACGGCTCTTGTATTTTCCTTGGCCACTTGAGGACTCTCCAATCAAAGCTGAATAGGTCGCAAAGAGGACGCCCTTCTTTACATTACCATTGAGGTCAGAGTTGATTTTTCCGTATTTCATTTTGCTGAGGAAGTGAACCTGGATGTGGCCCGCACCAATGTCCTTCAAGTCCCGCTCAGCGTCGTACTTCAAGTCGTTTGACACGGACACCCATATGGACTTCTTTCGCCCCTTTAGGTAGTTCTCATAGATTATCCCTGCAATAGTACGGCCCTTGCCCACGCCAGCACCATCGCCTGACGGAAAATTAGAGAAATGTTAAAGACGACTAATCTTTTAAAATATTCATCTGATAAAACTTTTTATACACATAAAAGTACCTTATACAGAATAATTTTCAAAATTTCTAAAACTATGTGATGGAGTTATTCAATTTATCCAAAAGCATAAACCAGGCCATGCTTATTCAGTAATTTTCTTTGATATTTATACACTGAATTTATGCCATACGGAGCAGAGCCTTTCAGAAACTGGCAGGCTACAGTCCCCTTATCTTCTTCCTATCAATGGGAGGTAGAGAGCACATGGAAATAGTTCTGGGACTATTTAGCAAGTTTCTTCTAGCTACATCACCCAAAGCCACCCTCTTGGGCCCCTTCTGCCTCAGCCAATCATAGAATCAGATCCTGGTTTG